CTGCAACTCTTCCGTGAATAACGCCGAAGGCGGTCGAAAAAGATCCCAAAAGGGATTTTTGTCCACCCGTCCCAGTCGATGGTTTATACCAACACCCCCATATAGACGTAGGACAATAAGCAGGCAGATGGCACCTCATACATTGCCTCGAAAGTTACAAAGGAATGAAGGCCCGGACTATGCAAATGTAAACAACGAGGTCGCTAAAGATCCACAGACTGGACATAACACTGGAAACACTCCTCGAATAAGCTTACCAGTGAGAGCAGTGTCTCGACAATCCAGCTATTTTGCATCAATCAGAGGACGCTTATCCCCAGGAAGAATGAACAAGGGGGGCGTGACTGGAACACAGATGCCGAGTGCATTCTCAAGGCTCTTATCTATGAATAATTTGGAGGGAGACACTGATGGTCTAGGAGATCTCCCTGGGCCTGGTCAGTTAGAGCCAATAAGGATGGGAAAAAAGTACGTTGCGTCGAGCAGAAAACCCGTAGGCGAGCTCAGTAAGCGAACGAGAACGATCTGCTTCCTCGGATCGCTGTTAGCTCTGTTTCTGATCCTTATCGAAATTATCTTCATGCTTTTTTCCCTAGGCATGGGAAAACCATGTCATATGGTTTCGTCGCTAATCGTTTCAGTCTCACTACTCGCCATCTGTATCATAATTGTTGAGTGGATCAAAAGCTGGCTATTCCGCGAATCATCCCCCATGTGGTTGGTGCCTCAGAAGAAGTCTACTATCGCTGAGACAAACGCTCATTTGGTGATGTTGGCTAGCGCATTACAAGCACCAGTGACATCCGGACCACTGTCGCCCATCAATCAGGAAGCTGTAACTAATAAACCGGGTGAATTTGACCGTCCGAAACTTGAAATGCATGATGTTTTAAAATCAGAGCCGGAGGACATGTATGAAGGTGGTGGAGGTTTCAGAGGCAGAATAGCAGACTATCGAAATTTTGATGTGGCCACGTGTATAGCATCGATGTTTCTGCTTATTTTATATATCGTTACAAGTCTTCTTCTACTCCGAGGGCTAGTGATAACTATCCCGAAGACGAGTACCAAGTCCAATTCTATTTCAAATAGAGGTGAAAGATCGTTGAAATGTCCAGAAGAATACTATAGTCGGGGTTTTAATTTTGTCGTGTTTAATCTCGCCATGATTGGACTTCGCGCTGTTGTCTTTCTCACTAGTAAAACATGCAAAGGCCTCTTCATTATCTTCTGTCGTCGAAATAAATCCAACAAGGAAGTTCCCATGGTGACAAATAATGCCTTGAATGGTTTCCTTCCCCACCTCAGGAAACACGATGAAGGCTTTGACGACCCATACTCTGAGGAGTAAGTTCACAATTCAGACACCTCAATGCAACCGCCTTGTTGCAGGATCTGTAATGTAATGGAGCTTGAAGCCTTACGATAAGCGTTGGTTTTATCCAGGTTCGTTTTTGTCCATAACTTTATCTTCCGTACACTTACCTCGTTGACAGGTACAGGAAACACGTTCACAAAACCGTTGAGGTGCTCCTTAACTTAATTTTTCCACCTATCCCTACCTATCCCTGTACACTCAACATAAAAAAGTGCATGTAAAAATAGTTCATTGAAATTTTGACTGAAGGACAATACAAGGCTACGAACCACCGTCTATAAGAACAAAATTAATCAATTTCTTATCACTAACTCAGAGCGAAGGAACTATCACGTAGTGGTAAGGCTGATAAAGAGTAACCCTGATGACTGAGATCTTCCAGGCCCGGTTCCTTATGAGAAGAGAGAATTCACGGGAAGGCCAGAGTGATAGGAAGAATGTATTCTTTACAGAATGAAAAGGAGAATAGGCGATAGGAAACTGACTACCAGACGACCGCACAGCCGCGTGCCAGCGGACGGCGTCTGAAGTGAGGTCTGCCCGGCAGTCGGTACATGAGGTCCTGTGTGAATCGGTCTGTGGTTGGCTGTTACAGAGGCCGGAGGCAGCAAGCCTTCCGAAAATGCACTTCGATTTGAGCTAGTCACTACAGGCGTTCAAAAGTGCACTTCGTGTGGAGCTAGTCACTACAGGACTATCCCTAAGCAATACTGAGGGAAGCTGGCGTTTAAACACTCATCGATGATCGATTTCGGTTCCCGAAACCGAGAGAGACTTGTTGACAGAGGCTAGGGAGAGATTTACTGGAAGCGGCTTCGTAAGATCATTCTTCTTAATTTAAAGGCGCGTCCTTGCCTCCCACTAGACTTTACAGTCTGCACAGGAGAGCTGCAGTCTATTTTGAAAGTATCATGCCAATATCTTCAGCGATCGCTTCCTGCATTTGAAGTGGCGGGAATCTAAATAAATGACAAAAGAAAAAATTAGCTTACATAAGGCTCCATGACTATTATGGGTAAAAATGAAGTCTCTGTTTGTGAAGTTCAGTCTCTTCACACTTCAGGTATCATGCCCGACATGGTAATACGGAATCTTGATATCCTTATGCACAGCGATAAATATACGAAATGCCGCAGTACGTGGGTTGGGAGGAATTCCCGGCAATTAGAGGATGAACAACACCCAGAATTGGCCCAGCAA